ACCAGAGCCACACTACGGGGGGGAGGGGGAGGAGAGGAAGGATTAGGGTCAAAATAAGGGGGGTGGGAATTGTATGTGGAATATAACCAAAATGAAAATGCATACATTGTGTAAAAATGAAAAATGATGTAATAATTATATAAAATAAAATATATTTTAAAAAATCTGGGTATGCTAGTGAAGTGTGCATCAACCTCAAGTTCGTCAGTGGAAAAGTAGGTTAAGAACTAACTGCTATTCTAATTTTTGTTCTACTCCCTCCAAATTTACTATCTTTTGCACATTTGATAAGCAGTCTATACTCTGGGCTTCAGAAACCCTGGAACTCTTGACCATAGCTATGATATTAACAAGTGGCCCTGAAATGGGCACGAGTCAACCAGAAAATATGTAGCTTACTGTAAAATGTAGCATGTCTATAGGCAGGCATTTTCCTTACATTCTGCCTTCAGTGGCCATTACTAATGATCAAGACTTTAAAAATAGGTTTTTGTTTTACTTTAGAGAAATTTCTGTTATATATGGTATGCCAACTGATCTAGCAAGAAATTCTTTCATGTTAGGTGCTACAGTTGTTATTTCCCATTTATGTAGAATACAATTACCCATTTATGTAGAAGAGGTCAAAAAAGTCATCTAGTCAGATCTATTATTTTTTTTCCTTGTAGATGAAATCCAGAGATAAAAAAGGAATTTGCTTAAGGCAGAGCTGGAGAAAAAAAAAAAAAAAACAGAATCTCAAACCTAGCCTGGTGATATTAGCTCAATACCCTGTTGTTGTCCACAGTGAGGAAATAAATGTTTAGGAAAGTAACTCTCATGGCCCTAGTGGGACTACCTCTGGTGTGTGTGTGTGTGTGTGTGTGTGTGTGGTGTGTGTAAGGGGGAGAGTGGATGAAGCTGACTACAACAAAAGTCGTTGGACTACTCATCCCATTTTTTTAAAAACAGCAGCTAAATCTTTTGGGGACAGTATGTTTATTTCCAAAATTCTATAAGATAATTTTGCCAATGTGTAACTGGATCCCCATTTAATGGATACACATATTAAAATAGAAGACATTTGTATGTCTGTGATTATCACTTATAATATCTGGAAAATTTGTTTACAGAAAAGACATATGAGTGAAGAAAGAGCTAGTGGCCATTTCTTTACGATATCTGTTAAACAATAAGATTCATGATAAGGTTCAAGGAGAGTCAAAATTTCTTAAATATTAAGGAATATATTAGTTTGGGTTCTCCCGATCTAGACTCCCAGAACTTTTCTTCATCACCTCTTTCTTCTATTTCATTTTCAGCTTCCACATGGTTACACATTTATTATTGAGTTGTAAATGTCGTGTATGACTTTTCACCTCAGTAGAACAACAGTTAGGCAACAAAGTTCTGGAAGAAATCACTGTAGAGTCATGTGTTCAGCTGCTAGGCACTGAATTACTTTTGAAAATATAAGCCATAGCTTTTCCTAGTGCCTGATACATAGTAGTTAGGCAGGAAATATTACTCCTCTATGTAAAGTTCTAAGTGGAGCTTTGTTAACTTCAGGATCTATGTAATCTTAATATCTATAGTAATTAGTAATAATAATAAAATCTAGTTGTTGCTCTCAATTGTTTAGGACCCTGGCCATACTGAATAATATATTCATTTTAAAATATTTTCTCGTTCCTCTAACAAGGAGAACAGGTCTCCATTCTGATGGCCCACACATATGAGTGCTTACCAGATTTTTGTTACATGAACAGGTAATGTACAAACCCTAATCTCATTCTACAACTCCCCATGTGTGAGGGAGTTTACCAAGTAATATACCAGTCTGGAAACCCTCATGCGGAGTTTGTTTATTTATTTAATAGGTTTGTATTTACTATTTTTATGTTTTCTAGTATGTCATTTATTCTCTCTAATTACATCACATTTATCCTTATTTAGAATGTGTAGGTAGAATGCAGTCCTAAAGAATTTAAGTAACTTGTCATATGATAACAGCAAGACAATCGAACATATTGATATCCAGAAATAATATGCACACAATAAGAAAATTATACAATAGTTAAATAATTAAAAAATCTATACAACAATAGAATGTAAATTAGGATAAATCATGAAAAATCTACAAAATTATATAAATCATGTGTGACATTTTATCATGTAACATGCATTCTGTAAAGATTCAAATTGAAAATATTGAATATGACATATTCCAAATTGGATAAAATATGGCATGTTATTGACTTGTTTCTAGTTGCAGAATGAACATAAATCATTTATGTAAAAACAAGGTTTCTTTGGGTAAACAGGGCTTTATGTGGATTTTAGAAGTGTAGATGAGGTATTCTGAAAGGACATGGAATTTCCAAACCTTCCAAACCATGGCTTAATGGTTTGTTTATTTGTAAGGTTTTCCTGGGAACAATTAATCATGTCCTCTGATCACCTTCTAACAATGGGAACACATCAGACAGTGATACATCCCCGACCTCTTTCTCCGTAAAGCCCATGCGTTGGACACCTACGGAGGCAAAGCCTCTGCGGTGAGCCAGAGCTATGAGCTAAAGCTATCCACTGAGTGAACAAAATAATGTCCATAGCTTCTGATTTCCTCCATAGCTTCTGATTTCCTCCAATGAGCAAACTGACACCTAAAGTGTTGACTGAATAAGGGAAGAGACTTTAGATGTGGTCTTTTGTTCCACTGTGTGAACCTAGGTGTTATTTTAACTGCAGGCTTGAAAGGCTATATATAATGTAAATCTTTAAGACGTTTTCTCCATAGAGAGAAAATGCCAGATAAATAGACACATACAATCTTCTTGTCTTTCTGACTTACTAGCATATAAGCAATTGCCAACTTAAAGGGAAAAGTGAAGTTTAGTTTCTCTCAGAGAAGCAGCCGAACCTAACAGCTAGGAATGAAGCCCTTGGAACTAGCCTTCCTGGATTTGTTGCCTCATTTGCTGTGTATCATTCGGCAATTTACTTCAACTTACTCTCTCTCTCTCTCTTCCTCTCTCTCTCTCTCTCCTCTCCCTTCCAAACACATATATATAGATATATATATTCTTATATTATAGCACTAATTGACTATCTCAACACGCAAAACCACTGAGAGAATTGTCTGGCAAGTAGCAGTCAATACTCAATGAAATCTAGTTATTATTATGATAGCTTAATGGTATAAATATTAATGATCTATTTCACCCTCACTGCTTTTATTTATTCTATTATAATGAGATGTCTTAAGATATACTTGTTCATCCTTGCACTATAGAAAGATTTCTGCATTGAATTAATTCTACTTGTTCTAATGATGCTTACCTTTACCTCACATTAAATAGTAAAAGTATTATGATTCCAAATTTAACACACCATTATTATACACCATGTATAATAAACTATAGGAAGAGTTTTTATTCTTTCACACAGTTGTAGATCATATCCCAGTTACTTTTTAGTTTACTTTGTATGACTTTGCAAACAGAAAATAATAATATACAGCAAAAAACTAATGTAGTACAAACTAATGTGAAAGTGGATAAGATCAGGCCTCCCTGGTGGCATAAGACATTAAGACCCAACCTATCAAGGTATCCACAGCCACTGCAGCATGAGTTCTATCCCCGGCCAGGCAGCTACCCACATGGTGCAGCGGCCAGGCAGCTACCCACATGGTGCAGCAGACCTCTCCTGACTCGCCCGCTGCATCCCTCGGCAGTGTACGTCATCAAACTGCCTATTCTGTTACCCACTCTGTCTCTGGTGAATCCTCTCAACCTCTGGCCTGTACACACATTCTTGTATGCATAAAAAAATAAATATATCTTTAAAAATAAAGTGGATAAGATCACATGTGCTCTGTTGAAAACAGAGCCAGAGTATATAGTTATAAATTTGTACGTGAAATTTAATGTTTGAACTATGTTCAACATCCAAGATAAGCTGAAGTCTTTAAATGAATAGGTCCTAGGTAACTCCATTGGTAGAGCATGAGGCTTTTCATCTGAGGGTCCAGAGTTCAGGTCCCTGTTAAGACACTGACAACTTTGTTGTCCTGGTTCACTCACCTTTTCCCTTATTTTACAGAAAAACTTTGAATGAAAAATAAGTTAAACATTTAATTGGGAGCATGCAGTATAATCTGCCTTCTGCAGACGTAACTTACTTTTTTATTCCAAATAGATTTTTAATGTCTTTTGAGGAGTCTATGTAGATAGTGTGTCTGATAGAAAATGTGTCCTGTCGGAGGTAGGAAGCTTATCCCTGGTATGAGCAAAGAAGACTTTTGGTGAGGTCATTAGGCAAGCTCAGTTTACAAGTATGTAAACTGGGAAACAGAGTCAAAGAGCAAAGGACCTCCATACAAATTCACTTTGATAATCCCAAATATCATCGCCAGCTGAGACTTCCTCCTGTCAAAGCTCTACCTCTTTCATTCTTAGGTTATTTTGGATATCTTTGCAAATCTCATGGAAATTATAAATAACCATCCCAGAAAAACACCACACACACACACACACACACACACACACACACACACACAGAATTCTGCATATGAGTTTGTGCTTTTTAGGCATGATCTTATGTAAAGAATTCCTTATTAATGGAGTGTTTTTATATTCTTTAGTAAATTAATCAATTAACATTTAAAAATAGATTTTACCCCCTAATTTCCTTTTAAAAATGTGTTATTTATAATTCTAACTTGTAACTCACCCAATATTTTTCAATTCATTCACTTGTTTGGTTTTACTATGATTAGCCATTTCAAAAACCTTTGCAGATATTTCTGAAATGTTTAATTTCTGGGGATTGTTTAAAATTCCTTTCTATTAGGAAAGTGCAGTAAGCATCAATGTATGTCTTCTTAGAAATATTTTATTATGATTTTATGAGGAAATAAAAAAGATTGAAATGAAATGTTATTCCCATATTGATTTGCATTAAATAAACATTGATAAATCACAAAATCTTAATCATAATTCAGGAAAAATTCTGAAAAGTATGGCAAAGGAAGTTTTTCAATGGCTATATATAATCAATGTTGATGAGTCAATCTCTGAATTTCTAGGCCTATTTCTTATAGTTTAGAGTTGGGACAAAGGAGCTCCTCAGATAGTTCCTGTGAGAGTTTGTTTTGAGCAACTTTAATTCTTAAATTCCTTAGAAAAGTTTTTAATAGTTTGTAAAACTTCATAAAAATTTGTGATAATAAAAATTTACCATTTTATATTTTTCCTTTCAGACCAATCATCACAGACCAAGAGTAGCTAAGCTTGTAATAATTTATTATGGCTGCATGTCATTTGTCATGTGTAATAAATTATAAAAAAAAACATAGCATCTTTATAAACTATTTAGTGCATAGTATTCACTTCCTAATGTTTACTGCAGTAACTAAGAGATTTAATTAATTATATCTTAGCATTTGTTAGAAGATTAAAAAATTAGAAGTTTTTTTCACAGTACTTCAGATTTATGTAGACCCCCATTATTTTAACTTATGTGCAACCAGTTTGAAATATATAAAAACCCTTTACAAGCCAGAAGGTGGTATATGGTTTTACTGAGCTGCAGAAGTTATTGCAGTTCTTTGAATTTGTACTTACACCCATATCGTGCACTTTTTCAGGCACTGTAATAAATGCAAATAAATAATCAATTAATGATCTCTAAAACCCTCTACTAATAGACAACAATGAAACTTGGTAACATTTTAAAATTCAAATAAAAAATTCAGTAAACAATTTCTCTTTCCTCCTCTTCCCTCTCCCACCTCCCTCCCCCTACCTAGTTGGTTAAGAAAAAAAAAGTTCAGGTTGAATTTAAGTCCTTCTGGGCCTGGTAAAGGGAACCTGGCTGCAGTTTTCCCCAGCCCTTTGTCATCTTTAGTTTCAGTTCTCATTCTATCTGTCCAGACTCTTCTCCTGACACCAGCATCAGTCCTTTCCTGCAGGGAGAGTTTTCAAATCCTTACTGAAAGCACTTTGTTCTCCACTGTAACAGCACAGGCGTGAAATTGGTTGGAGTCTCTGTAACCAGTTTGTTCTGTTCCTTTCCAGCCTCTGGAGTCCTGAGTCCTGACGGAAGAGAAGCTTGCAAGGCAGCCACAAAAGGCTGCGTGTGTTAAGGTTTCACAAACTCACTTGGTCTTTAAATGTCTGTTCTTGGATAACGTCCTTATCCATCCTGGTGTCCTCAGTGAACTTTGATGGAATATTTCCGCAGTTTCAGAAACTGGAAGAGTTTGTCTTTCGTCCTCTTCTTCAGAGCCATCAGGGCCCGTGTTTTCTCCTCCAGATCTTGATCTATGGCAAAAATGATCTTAGCTCTCTCCTCTGCTTTCTTGTCTCCAGAGTTTTTGAAGAGCCTCTGTAGTGATTCTTGGTCTATGTTTTCAAAGATGTTGCCCACGGCTTTCTTACGAGAGGCTGTGTCGAAGTGATAGCCGTGGATGGACGGGCTCACTCGCAGGGACGTGGACATGATGATGGCTTGGTGGCTTCGCTTTGCTTTCATCGATATGGGGATCTTCTGGAATCTGGCTCCCGGCTCTCCAGAGAGTCTGTAGCAAAATCATTCCGGGGACTGCTATTTAAAGTGTGAACACAGCTCCGGGCTCAAATTACACCAATGACATCAGAGTGATCTCAAGGAAGAACAATCACACGGGTTTAACAGTTGAGTTGCCAATATCCTGTTCTGGTGAAAATGTTACTAAAAGCTGTGTTCTGTGATGGGATAAGCTATGGGGAGTGCTTTCACCTCTTCATCTGTGGCAATAGGATTACACAGACCTGGCTGCTTCCTTAAAAAATGCTGAAACGAGGAAAGTGCAAAGACAGGACACAAACAAGGTGGCTTAGATTCACAAACTTTCCAAACAAACCAAACAAAGGTCTCTGCTAACCACAGGATAGTTTTAATTCCCAGAGACATGTTCAAGTGCAATCCAAACATTAGGCAACTCGCATCAGTGCCCTTTGCACAGCTCTAACCAGGGCGATTCCAGAGTTGTTGAGAAAACATTTAATAATTAAGGATGGACACTAATTTGGAGTAAGACTGATTGAGGACTGGGAGTTTACCTATAGAATGCTTGCATGGCACAGGCTGAAACTATGGTTTTTCAGCAATTGTATATGAGTAACTAATCTGAAATCATGGAATAAATATAATAATAATAGTTATTTAATATTGTAAATCAATAGAAATATATACAAATATGGTGCAATTTGAAAAGTCAGAAGCATAGCTATAATGTTTGATATCTCTTTCTCTTCCCCCATATATATGTATAATATGTATATATGTGTAATATATACATATAACACCAAGGTCTGTCAACTCTATCTTTGAAATATTTCTGTAATCTATCTACTTACTCTCCATTTTCACTGTCACTGGGTTTGGGTTGTCTTCTGGATATTTACCCTAAGAATATGAAAACACTAATTCAAAGCAATGCATACACCCCAGTGTTCATCACAGCATTGTTTACAATAACCAAAACTAGGAATCAACATATGACTGAATAAAGATGTGGTGATATATACAATGGCATACTACTCAGCCATAAATACAGATTAAATTTTTCCAGACAGAATTTCATGGATGGACCTAGAAGTTATTATTCTTAATGAAAAAGTCATGAGAGAAAGATAAACATCAATGATGATGATTATATGTGTTATAGATGATTTCACTATATGTGCTATATAGAGAAACAAAACAAACAAATGAACTAAATAAAAACAAAAGTAAAATTTTAGATTATAAAACCAATTAATGGTGGGCTCTCTCTGGTGGTGCAGGCAGTTAAGCGCAGCGCTATGAAGCTGTCCGCAACATCTGCAGTGCGGGTTCGATCCTTGCTGGCCCTGGAGATACCCACATGGCGAGCAGACCTCTCCTGTCTTGCCTGCTGCTCCCCTCAGCAGTGTATTTTAGTCAGTCTGCCTGTTCTGTTCCCCACTCTGCCTTTGGTGAATCCTCTCACCCTCCCGCATATCTGGCCTGTACCCCAGTTCTTGTATAAATAAATAAATCTTTAAAAAAGAAAAAAAAAAACAATTAATGGTTATCAGAAGGGAGGAGGGAAAAGGTCCACAAATTGGGCGAATGTATAGTGAAGGATAGAATTGGACTTTTAATAGTGAACTTAATGTATTATATACAGACAGAGATTTATAATGATGCACACCTGAAACCTATATAATGTCATAATGCAATGCTACTTCAAAAAATTATTTTTTAAAAGAATGAAATTAAGAGTGAAATAAATTTACTTTTCAGTTAGAATTTTTTTTAATTGTGCTGTTTTAAGTCACTAGGTGAGTGGCCATCTGTTACGGTGGTAATATGAAACTAATTCCCTCTACAAATCCTTCACCTGCAACAAGGCAACTGGAACCCATGATCTCAAACACTTTGCTCTACTGCTCTCAAATCACCTGCAAACCCTGTCTTTGAAAAGTCTGAATAATGTTTCTACATGACATTGAGCAGCTCTCCTTGAGCACTGCCTGCAAACATGCAGATGAATTTGAGAGATTAAGGAGTTTCAAAATTGTTTAGAGGACAAGGCCTTCCAAAGGGGAACAATGTCAGTTTCTGTTTCCCAGAAATCTGACACAAGTCTTTAGGTTATGATTTGCTGCTGCTCTTTGCCAACGGTAACTCCATATTGTGCTTGGAAAGCCTTTTAACGTCGTTGCTCTGTTCTATCCCTTGGTATAAATAGTTTCAGTGATTGGCATGAAAAACAAGATCTGAAAATTACTGGCAAGAATCCACAAATTGTATGTGGACAGGAGCTTATAGTATAGGCACCTTTTGAATTTTGTTTTTCTTTTCATAGTAAAGACAGGAGATGATGAAGGTTGTTGAACAGAAGCTGCTCCTGCATCAGTGTATTTCTTTTGGGCACCAGTTTTCCAGTATGTTTTCCTCAGACAAAGATTAAATATCTGTTTGCCAGTAATAAGTGTTAATTTCCTATCTTATGAAGAGATCTTAAAAAAAAGTGAAATATTTATCAAGTGATTTTCTACGTATAACTAAATTATTCTTCATAAAATTACTGGAGGTAGATTTTATTGACCTCCATTTTTACCACAAACAAGGAATTGAGCTAAACAACCTGCCCAAGCTAAGTGGTGAAACTGCAATTATTTCCATTTTTTTTAAAATTCCCAAAATATATAAATTAAAAATAAATAAATAAATTCCCAAAATCTCATCTGGGAAGGTCTTCCTGACCATTTGCAAGGTTACTTGCCTGTCGTATTTGCCTTCCTTTGCTCTCGGTTTGCCCTTCGAGATTAACAGTTATGACGTGTGTGTGTGTGTGTGTGTGTTTATATAGATTTAAAGCACTGAAGATATACAGACAGAGTAACTGGGGCATAGGATGAATCCAATGAGTATTCATTGAATTATTATATGAATAAGTGAAAGAAAGTACACAGAATTTACTTTGGTGCTGCCTTTTTGTACCAATTTCTTTCACTGACAATTTCCAGAATATGAACCTTAAACTTCAAGTGAATTGTTCTTGGACATAGTTGTTTTAACAACAAATATTTCCTACTGTGTTAAAGTTTACAACGTATTTTCACATGTATTATCTCAATTGACTTTCACCTCACTGATATTGCTATCCCCATTTTACATATGAGAAAACTGAGTCTTACAGAAGTTAAATAATTCTTTCAAAATCTTAGTTAATCAGATGAAAGAGCTAACTATCATTTTTTAATTCTATCTCAATTTTTTTAATCATTTCCTAATATTCTGGTTGTGCTCATTCTTTACTCATCTCCTATAGTTTGAAAAATTCTACAACTTTGTTTCTTTTAAAATTTGTCTTTTATTAAGTGATTTATAGGTTTATTCACAAAAAAAAAATACAGTATCAACACTCACCATGTATACAAAGGTCATGCAAATGCATTGGGGGAAAATAGACATGTTCCTTGTGTTTGAGGAACATGAGCTATAGAGAAGTGACTTCAGGCAAATAGGCACACGTATAAACACATATAAACATATGAAGAACATTTTTATCCGCACAGGAAAATGTAAAGCATCAGATGGTAAAGAAGGTGATGAGGTGAGGCTTCATTTAAAATCTTCAAGTAAGGGCCTCCATGGTGACGCAGCGGTTGAGCACTGGGCTGCAAAGCTGCTCGCAGCCTCTGCAGTGCCAGTTCGATCCCTGGCCACCGGCGAGGGTCCCACATGGCGCACAGACCTCTCCTGCCGCCCGCTGCTGCTCCCTTCAGCAGTGTCCTCCATCTGTCTGCCTGCTCTGCTCCCCACTCTGGCTCTGGTGAATTCTCTCACCCTCCTGCGCTTCTGACTGTACCCAGTGCTTGTATAAATAAATAAATAAATCTTTAAAAAAAATAAAATAAAATCTTCAAGTTAGGAAAAGCCTTTCTGAAGAAGAGAAATTTAAGTTGAAATTGGAAACATGCTTCCAAACCAAGAAAGGAGCAGTGGGTGCAGAAGGGAATCCTGTGTAAAGATCCTGAGGAGAGAATAAATTTGAAGAGCAGGAAAATAGGCACAATAATAATGTGGCTGAGAAACAAAAACCAAAGAGGAGAGGAAGGGAAGACAATGCTAGATTCATAAGACAGGGGCCAGAGGATGTAGAACATTGAAAACCTTGGTAAAGATTTAAAATTTTATCTTCAGTTCAATGGGCAGTGTTTAAAATGTTATAACTATGGATAGGGAACTGCTGAGGTTCTACACTTTTTTTTTTTTTAATTTGACTGTTAGTCTGTCAAAGACAACAGCTAAAGAGAACAATTGTGGTCACAGATATTTAGATAGTTCTAAATGTATTTTGGAAACAAACTCAAAGGGACTCGGTGATGAATGGGATAGGGTATGGGGTAAAGGTCAAGGGTGACTTCCAGGTTAAATCTTGGGCACATTCGTGGGGAAAGTTGAGATGGTGCAAGTGAGAATGGAGAGGATTTGGGAGAAAGATCAAGAGTTCATTTATGCATGCAGTAAATCTAAAAGGCTTGAGAATTGCCAAGAAAAGAGCTGAATATATAAATCTGGAGCTCAGAGAAGTCTGAAATGTAATATAGTTTATTCTTCCTCTGTAATAATTATCAGAAACTTAAAATTATAACTTTTTTTAACCATATTTATGCATAAATCCAGAACACAGAACAATGCCGGCACCTTGTACACTTTAAATGTTTTCAGTTATTTTACATAGGAAAGTAACATACAAAGATCAAACAGCTGGTCAGTGGGCCAGCTCTTATTATCTGATATTAAAATCTCCTTTTTTTAAACTTAATGAGTGAAATGACTATTCTCTGTAGTAATTGTTTTAAGCATCTATATTATATTTTTATTTTTATATAAAACCTAGCCTATATTTCCATTTCTTCATAGGTGTGATTAATCACATTTTAAAATTAATCAGCAAACATTTTTCTTTCAGTAAATTTTATCAAATGTATTTTTAGTCTTTAATTATTACTTGAGAAAGTATGGCAGCTTTATTTAGAAACTTTGATTCTGACATTTATATTTGATCACAGAAAGGAAC